GTTGGCAGGACCCCCGGCAGGAGCGTAGTCGGCGGGGCCTCCAACGAGACAGGACAAGGAGCTGGCAGAACCCCGGCAGGAGAGTAGACGGCGGGACCTCCAACGGGACAGGACAAGGGGTTGGCAGGACCCCCGGCAGGAGAGTAGACGGCGGGACCTCCAACGGGACAAGACAAGGGGTTGGCAGGACCCCCGGCAGGAGAGTAGACGGCGGGACCTCCAACGGGACAGGACAAGGGGTTGGCAGGACCCCCGGCAGGAGAGTAGTCGGCGGGACCTCCAACAGGACTGGACATAGGATTGGCAGGACCCCCGGCAGGAGAGTAGTCGGCGGGACCCCCAACGGGACAGAACATGGAGTTGGCAGGAGCCCCAGCGGAACCTCCAACGGCACTTCAGTAGGGACTTGAGTTGGGACTGGCGAGGGAACTCGAGAGGGGACTCGAGAAGGGATTTGAGAGGGAACTCGAGAGGTGACTCGAGAGGGGACTTGAGAGGAAACTGGAGAGGGGACTCGAGAGGGGACTTGAGATGGGACTAGGGAAGGGACTAAAGGAGGGACTGGAGATGGGACTAGAGGAGAGACTTGAGAAAGGACTAGAGAAAGGACTAGAGAGGGGACCAGAGAAGGACTAGAGGAGGGAACTAGAGGAGGGACTAGAGGAGGGAACTCGAGAGGGGACTCGCGAGGGGAACTAGAGGAGGGACTAGAGAGGGGACTAGAGGAGGGAACTCGAGAGGGAACGAGAGGGGACTCGAGAGGGGACTCGGGTAGGAACTTGAGAGGTGACTAGAGAGGGGACTCGAGAGGGGACCTGAGAGGGAACTGGAGAGGGAACTGGAGAGGAGACTCGAGAAGGGACTGGAGAGGAGACTGGAGAGGGAACTGGAGAGGAGACTCGAGAAGGGACTGGAGAGGAGACTGGAGAGGAGACTCGAGAGGAGACTCGAGAGGAGACTCGAGAGGAGACCTGAGAGGAGACTGGAGAGGGAACTGGAGAGGGAACTCGAAAGGGGACTCGAGAGGGGACCAGAGAGGGAACCGGAGAGGGGACTCGGGTAGGAACTGGAGAGGGGACTCGGGTAGGAACTTGAGAGGGGACTCGGGTAGGAACTTGAGAGGGGACTCGGGTAGGAACTTGAGAGGGGACTCGGGTAGGAACTTGAGAGGGGACTTGAGAGGGAACTTGTGTCGGTCGGTACGCCGACAGGACACGGGAGCTGGCGTCGTCTGGGGAGCCAGCAGGAGACGAGGTGCTGGAGTCGGCCGGTACGCCGACAAGACTCGAGGAGCTGGTGTTGGCTGAAGAGCCAACAGGAGACGAGGTGCTGGAGTCGGCCGGTAGGCCGACAAGACTCGGGGAGCTGGCGTCGGCTGGGGAGCCAGCAGGAGACGAGGTGCTGAAGTCGGGACCATGACTGCTGGAGCCGGTACTTGAGCCGGAACCATGGCTGGAACTGGGGCCGGAACCATGGCTGTATGGGCCAGCTCTGGTGCAGGGACCACGGTTGTAAGATCCAGTTCTGGAGCCGGAAACATGGCTGTAAGGTCCGGAGCTGAAGCCTGGATCATTGCTGTGTGGGCCGGTCTTGGAGCCGGAAACATGGCTGCTGGGGCCGGCACTGGAGCCGGAACCATGGCTGCTGGGCAAGGAACCAGAACACGGATCCATGGCTGTGTGGGGTGGTACTGGAGCACGGTACCATGGCTATGTGGGATGGTACTGGAGCACAGAACCATGGCTGCTGGGTCCGGCACTGGAGCCGGAACCATGGCGGTTGGGGCTCGGGCTGCTAGCCTGTCCTTGCGACGACTCCTCTTAGCAGCCTCCTGAATACTCCGTGGACCTCCATAAGCCTGACGAGTTCCGGAATACGACTCCTGGACAGGAGCAGGAACTGGGGCAGAAGCGCGGGTTGACTTTAGGCGGAACCCACCAAGGCGTATGGTGCCAGGTTGGGAATTGGGAGACAGGGAGCTAGCATGCCTGGAATCACATGCTTGAAGGAAGTCCAAAATCCAGTCAGGTAAAAACTCAACAAAACATGGTTTCTCTGCTGCCAACCGGAGCGCCCATACCAGAGCGGCCCTCTTCTGCCGAACACTGGACGCTCCCTTCCACCAATCGAAGCAGCAAGCCAGATAGAAAGTTAAATGCTGTAATTCAACCTCCCAAGGATCATCTGCTGGGTCCATTTTGTGGTCGGTTCGTTCTGTCACGGTAGAGCGAAGGAAGCAGGACCCAAATGCAGATTAAACTGATAATACCTTTATTTCAAGGATAATGAAATAGAACTTGGACAGACAGAACACTCACCGGTGAACACAGTCAACAACAAAAGACGAACCGACAAAGACAGACAGAAAAAACCAGAACTTAAATACACAGAAGACTAATCACACAAACAAGACACAGGTGAGGAGGGAGGAGAAAACACAGGGGCCACAGGTGAACACAATCGGGTAATCAGACACACCAGGGAAACTAACGACAGGGAACCACAGACAGATCCAAACAAGACAAAACACAACGCAGACAGAAAACCAAAAACAGATCTAGACAAGACAAAACACCACAAAGACAGATTGTGACATTAACGGTGCATCATGAGCATACAAAGGGGTTTAAATGTGGTGTCTGTTCAGGAACTCTAGGATGGCAAGAAACATTTTTGATCCTCTCTTCATTTGATTTCCACATTATTTTCTACTTCCCAACATTTGAGACGGGAGTGTGTATGTTCTCATCATTTCATTTGGAATGACAACTATGCAAATAAATATTACAAGGCATTACCAAGAGATGAAAAATGTCAATACATTCCTGGGCTATATAGAGTCAAATATATAAACAACACATTTACTTTTTTTAGCATATATTTTAACGCGTTATTCCTGATAGGGAAATCAATAGATAAAGGTTCTTGTCATGTCCATGAGATTGACATATTTAGCCGTCAAACCATGTGTTCATTTAGACAACATTTTGTATTTATTCAATTGTAAAAAAGCTTCCAAGGCTAGTCACAGTACTATAGATTTTATAATGAACTTTTTTCTATATTTATACAGATATCTTTATTTAATGTATATCTCCTGGGACCCAGCCCATTGAAAATGTCCACTGTAGTGGACATTTTGTTAACATGCATCTCCTTTTACTCTTTTGAGCTACTCTATAATTCCCTGATGTACTGTACAGAGGACATCCTGGTCTTTCCAGTGATATGTCATTGGTTAAAATTGTATGCTGGGAAGTTCCTCTTTATTTTCATCCAAAATGGCTGGCATACGAAAAACAAAATGTTATAGAAGCAGGAGGAGAAGTCAAATATTGTTTAATAATTGTAATTTTTACCATGAAAATCATATATGTTCTTGTTTATTAACATGTAAGGAACTATATAATTAGTTCTGAAAGCAATTAAATAATTCAAGTTTTGAAATAACAGCTCTTTTATAAATGTCCATCCTAGTGGACGTCAGGACCATCTTCATGGACTTAATGACTCTATATTGTTGCAGGAGACGGAACTGAAGCAGACATTTTCTGTACCAGATAGTTAAGGGAGATTCAGATTTTGAGCTCTCAGATGAGATGAGGATTTCACACCTGGGATAGAAGAGGGTCAAGAAGAAGGGGGGGAAGATGCAGGAGGCTCCATGAGCGCACAGATAGATACATAGAGACAGATAGGGACGAGCTGGAAAGACATGTCCCTCTGTGGGCCAAGAGTGGCACGTATGTCTTATTGTTGTTTTTATTTTAAGTGGAGCCATGAAAAATGAGAATTGCCTCAGGAATGCCAAGTTTGTTTCCATGGAGACCACATCCATAAAACTAGTCAAGATGACCCTACAGCCTGTGCCGACTGGAGTCAATGAGGTACTTTTCCTACATTGACTACAAAGTCTTTGAAGATCTGGAAAGATTCACCAAAAACCAAACTAGTTTTTTAGTGACCAAATAAACAGCAATGTTCAGATCAATTACTTATTTATGTTTTAAATAAAACTGAATGTATTCTTGTATTAATATCACTCGATATATAACCATAATACGTTACATAGTCTATATGTTCATTTTGGCTGTCTTTTCAAACTAAAATGGTCCCGACATCCTCTGGACATACTGTAACATTTAAAAATAAAATACAATTTAAAAAGTCTATACATATATCCTTTATTTAACCAGGTAAAAGACTCATTGAGATTAAAATCTATTTTCCAAGAGCGACCTGGCCAAGAAGGGCAGCATGTACAAAGTTACAACAGATAAACACAGACATGACAGGCAGACAAATACAGCTGTAAAACACAAATAAAATGGCACATTAGCCAGTCAATATGCGAAGTAAAACAAACTATTAAAATCATTCAAAACTGGCAAAATTTAAAACGATTTTAGGATACATTGTTCCAAGCTGTGGGGGCAACATATCTAAAAGCTGTTTTACCCAGTTTTGTTCTCACTGTAGGGACCAGCATCTGAATAAAATCTTGGGAGCGCAGGCCATACAGACTTTCTCTTTGACACATATATGTGCAAATGTAAATTGCAAGATGTTTTTTTAACCCTAAATAGGTAGGAAATAAAAAATAAAGAAGATTGGAAAACATTTTTTTCCCTTGGTTCCCACTTCCCAGGAGGATATTTGTATTCCATTTATAATTATATGTATTCTATTTCGTATTTATTTTATTATGTAGAAACTGTCACAAAACCCAATCACCTACTGAACAAATAGAGTATTCTGATTTCTATATATTCTTGATTTTGATCTTATTATGAAAGTAGAATAAATAATAGAAAATGTATGTATCAATGAATGGATGAATACATGAATCAATAAATAAAAATAATTCTGTTCAACTTTAACCCATTTACTGTCAACATGCAACTTCATACACTTCTTCACGTTGGAACAATATTTAACAATACTTTACAATATTTGTGCTTTACTCAATACAATGATCTTCTCCCCTTTACAGAGTATCAGCACAGAACCGGAACTCACTTCTCGCGCGCTCTGACACGTCAGCTGTAGGTGCCGGACGCAGTTAGTTGTTGCACGCGCCGCGTTTCCTGGTTCCTCTGTGTTGATATTCGCCGATGTAAACTGTTCAAAGTCAAACGGTAGTATTTTCATTGGGTTTTATCACCGTTATTAAGTTGCCATCCTGTTTGCGAAAGAATAATTAACGAATAAAACCACATCCGGTTGATTTCACCTGTAATCCAGCCGCTTGTGTTCAGCATGGGTGATTTAGCATGATGTTATCACCAGGTATGCATGAAATCATCTTCAATCTTGTTTAAATTCAGTTTTCCATCTGCTTGCATGTCCTTTCTATGCCTTCATATTTGCTGTAATTAATCTAATGGAGAATATGTGTTGTATTGTTTCCTAATTTAATTGCATGTTGTAATTTAGTTGTATTCTATACCGTTACAACTGCGTTAACCATTCAATGATTTACATAATTATTCTTAATTTAATTTCTCTCTATGGTGTCAGCGAGCCAAGCAATTCATGTGGAAACATTGCTTTGCATTAGGACTTATTTCACAATGTGGTCAGACAGTTTGTCTAGTTCACTTGTACTATAATAATATACATTGTACTTAAATAGTACCTAGTATACATTGAGTGCTGTTCAACTTGCTGACAATCAAATCAATTAAAACACACCAAAGAAATGCAAGTACTGCTCTTTAAGACCAAGCAATTAAAGGAATAACAGAAACCCATTAAACACAACAACAAAAGACTGAAACAAAGGTTAGTGTAAGAATGATAAAAAGGAAGAGATAGATAGTTCATTTAACAAAAGTCCATTTTCATTTAGATATGTTCAGAAAGCTTGTATTTCTTGTAACCTTTGGTAGGGATTTACATCGTTTAGTAACTAAGTAATAAAGAAAACATCTTTACGTGGGAGAGTTCATACAAAAAAACCCAAACTGAATTATTAAGCTCATAAATACAAAGCTATAGCTGTAATGAGCATTTTTTTAAATTGAGAATATCCTGGATCTTTTGTGAGACCTTGGAAGTGTCACCTTTCACCCGAATAATCAATAAATAATTAATGATTCTCTGTATTTGCTCTTTCCTCTTGCCATGTGCACTGTGCTAAGCAGTATATCTTATATTAGTCTGCTGGTCATCATTCCAGAAACTCACCTTTCACCAAAACGTTTTCTTGCAACTATTTGTATGTAGGTAAGAGCTGAATGTAGCTCAATGCATGTTTCCACTTATCCAGTTTGCTAGCATTACACAAACCTGTGTATTCAATACGGTATTGCGTATTGTTGTCATCTTTGTCTGTCTGGGAGGTTCTGAGGTTTTGTCATGATGACAGTGCAAAAAAATGGGATCAATGGGATTCAAAGGTTGATTTATGGTAGCTTTAAAAACGTGTAGTGAAATATCGTTCAGTTTAGATGTTTGAGTATCTTATTTTCATCTATTTAAATCTATCATCTATTTTTTTTTAATTATATTATTTATTTATTATTGTATTTCTATATTATTTAAAGCGACTTTGAGCACCGGGAAAGCATTTTTTTATTATTGGTATTATTATAATGATCTTTATTCTGCAGATTTCCTGAGGGCACAGCGGGTTTGATGCCCACTGCTCCAAGATGGAGCACTCTGATTTTATGACACACAATAACGGGCGCCAGAGGAAGGCGGCGGGGGTCGCCTTCTCATCTGAGAGCATGACGGACAGGGTAGAGATGAGCTCTCCTGATCCGGAGTTAGAGGAGGAAGCAGAGGGTCTCATCAGAGGGTCTGACTCTGAGGACAGGAGGCACATGGTCCGGCCTGCTGGGGTCCGTGGAGAGTTGGGGAACGTTTTGCTCCTTCTGTTCCTGTACGTGCTGCAGGGGATTCCTCTGGGCCTGGCGGGGAGCATCCCTCTGATTTTACAGAGTAAGAACGTCAGCTACAAGGACCAGGCCTTCTTCAGCTTTGTCTTCTGGCCATTTAGTCTCAAGCTCCTCTGGGCGCCGCTGGTGGACGCGCTCTACTTCAGCAGGTTTGGTAGAAGGTAAGAATGACGTGTTCATGCTGCTGTTTTCATCTGTGTGGATTTGCTGCCCCTCTTTCGTACACTGTGTATGTTTTTTCACCTTTTTCTGCAGAAAGTCATGGCTGGTTCCAACACAGTACCTGCTGGGCCTCTTCATGCTCTACCTCTCTGTGACGGTCAATTCCCTGCTGCAGAGTGAGGGAGGACCAAAAGTGGTAACACTCACAGCTGTCTTCTTCATGCTTGCCTTCCTGGCAGCCACACAGGTAGGAAATCACTGTGACATGATCCTACATTCTGGAGGATCAATACATTCAAGTTGATGGTTTCTCTTTGACTGTTAAACACCTGAACTTTTGAAAGAACATCCATAACATTCATCTGTTTGCAACTTATATATATCAATATTCCAATTACTTGTATATAGACTACTCTGCAGTATTTCTATTATATTTTATTTTATTTACTTGCACTATTTTATCTGTTTTATTGTGTTGCACTGTTGGAGGAGCCAACCATTTTCATTGTCATAACTACACTGTAGCGATGTACACATGACAATAAAAGCCTTGAATCTTGCCTCCATTGGCTGTATCGTCTCTGCCTCTCAGGACATCGCTGTGGACGGCTGGGCCCTGACTATGTTGTCCCGGGAGAATGTGGGCTATGCTTCTACATGCAACTCAGTGGGCCAGACAGCTGGATACTTCTTAGGGAATGTGCTCTTCCTGGCTCTGGAGTCTGCAGACTTCTGCAACAAATACCTCAGAACAGAGCCCCAGGACACAGGCATCGTGACCTTGTCAGGTATCACATATCCCTGACATAAACTTACCAGAAGCATATTCACTTTTTGACCCTTGCATTGGAATTTGAGTTGAATGAAGTCTCTAATGCTGCCTGTTCTTCTGTGCAGACTTCTTGTTTTTCTGGGGGATAGTGTTCCTGGTTTCCACGACGTTGGTAGCCATCATGAAAAAGGAAAACGAGCAGGGCAAAGGGAAGAAGAGAGTCCAAGAGGAGACACAGGGCGTCATGGCAACCTACAAGCTGCTGTTCAACATCATCAAGATGCCCACCGTCTTCACCTTCTGTGCCTTGCTTCTCACTGCCAAAGTACTTCACCATCTCTTGGTTTATCTTTTTGAAATATGACTATGAGAGTGTTGCCTGTTCTTACCGTGAACATATGTTGTGATTAACAGATTTCTCTGTGTTTCAGATGGGCTTCTCTGCAGCGGACGCAGTCACAGGTCTGAAGCTGGTGGAGGCTGGAGTCCCGAAGGAGCAGCTGGCCCTGCTGGCCGTGCCCATGGTGCCTCTGCAGATCCTGCTCCCTGTGATCATCAGTAAATACACCGCGGGGCCCCGACCCCTGGATGTCTTCTACAAGGCCTTTCCTTTTAGGTACAAGCACACACAGCCATGCACTAGCATTAAATAACATAACAGATAACAGAGTGCTGCTGTTTGTTTCCTTGTATCTTCTCTTATGGCGCATTTCCACTGCAGCGGGGTAGCCCCGTTTAAGCGTCCCTAAGCGTCCTCGCTCAGGCCTCGGGCTGCCTCGCTGGCCGTCCGAGGCCGTGGCGCATTTCCATTACAGTTTAGGACCTGGGGTAGCAACGCAGTGTAGGCGGGGCGATCGGCTTTGTTTTTGTTCACATTTCGAGTTGTTCCGTCGAGCTCCCGCTGGATTTGATCATCCCCAATGAGATGTAGGAACGTCGTCACCTCCTCGGTCGACCACGGTGTGCTTTTCTTATTAGACGTTGCCATTTTTGTAGCTCATCCGTTTACAAAATGCTGTTTATAAAAATGCTGCAAGCTTGCTTCTAAATTTATATGCGATGCTAGGGATGAACTCGCGCGCGATCTTGTGACGATTCTCTCTGACCAATCAGCAGTCGAGAGTGTTGACGTCACTAGTTCAGCCCTGGCCCAGGTCTGATAGAACCACGATTTTATGAGGCCGGAAAAAGAGGGAAAAAGTACCCGCTAGCCGGTGCTACGCTATATGGAAAGGCCACCAAAAACTGGCCTGGCCGCTTGAGGACGGTTAAGGACGCTTAAACGGGGCTACCCGCTGCAGTGGAAATGCGCCATTAGTATGCTTCCTTGTTTATGTTGCAAATGGAGCTGCTGTAATGCACATTTCAGACTTGCTCTGACATAAAGTATTATCGTGTCATATCGTATGGTTTTGTGCTTGCAGGTTGCTCATAGGACTGGGGTACGCTCTGCTGGTGTGGTTGACCCCCAGTTTAAAACAAGATGGAGGGTTCCCTGTTTACTACTACGGCATAGTGCTGATTAGCTACGCATTGCATCAGGTTTGTTTTTCTGTTGCTTTTTGAATATGTTGTTTTTCTTCCTTTTTCAAATGATGTAATAGTGTTTGTGTCACTATTCTAGGATTGTCAGCAACACTAATGGTGCATTTCCACTGCAGGGCCTCGCACGGCTTAGTACGGTATAGTTAGGCCTTGGTAGGCCCGGCTCACTTTATGCTGCGTTTCCATTACAGTTTAGGAACTGGGGCAGTAACTATAGTAACGCAGTGTAGGCGGAGCCGTGACGTCATCTTCAATGCGAAACACAAAACCAACATCAGCCGTTAGCTGTTAGCCCTCAGAGCTCTCTCCATATCCGGCAGACCAGGTGTTGTAGCTGCCGGATTTGGAAGCCCCCCCTATATCTTTGTCCAGGATAGTCACAACTTCACCAAAATCATACTGGTGTTTGCTGTTCCCCTCTAGTTTGTGCTCGCAAAAGCATTTTACTCTGGGCCCAGCAGGTAAAAAATTACAGGGGGGCTTCCATATCCGGTAGCCAGCCACAACACCTTCTCTGCCGGATATGGAAGCCCCTCTTTAGCTTTTTACCTGCTGGGCCCAGAGTAAAATGCTTTTGCGAGCACAAACTAGAGGGGAACAGCAAACACCAGTGTAATTTTGGTGAAGTTGTGACTCTTCTGGACAAGGTTGTAGGGGGGGTGCCATATCTGGCAGGAGAAATACCTGCTCTGCTGAACATGTTATGTAGAGAACAGTGCAGATCTTCCCTATTGACACCAGGAAAAACCTAGTCTAAAATAAGGAACATTAATAGTGTGTTATAGGCACAGATATAAGATGAATAATACACTATATTTTAGGGCACCTTTCAAAATATTCAATGTCACTTTAAAGTAAAATAAAATATGAGTGGCATTACAATACAAAAATATGTTGAGTAGGAAACCACAGAGGAAAATTACATTCAAAGGAGCAATTAAAGTGAGTGAAGCCAGTTTGAACACATTATCTTTTAGGCTTGATTGAAAATAACACAGTGTCTGACATGATCATATATGTGATATCATTCGTGGTTATCAAGTATCAGACACTTAAACAACAGCGAAGGTTTTAAGAAATAGGACTATACTGACAAATGACATCTTATCCTTTCATTGTCACGGTTCTGTAGGAAGGAGGAACATAGCAGAGTGGGACTACGCTTAAAAACGGAAGTTTGTTCCAATACGAAGATTGTGTCCTTAAAACGAGCCTCCTCGCAATTGTATGGACATTATTTATTCAGCCGTTTGCTGTTTAATCTGATGGGAAAGAGAAAAAAGCTTATTACACTAGACGAACGCTCAATACAGGCGATGACGTCACCTTTGCGTCCCCGCGAACAGGGCTTCAACCTACGGTACAACACCAGAACTACGCCTCGTGGAAACGCAACCAAAAACGGGGCACGGCACGCTTAAACTGCGCTCCACGCTGTAGTGGAAATGCGCCATAAGACAGTGACAGTTTGCTTCTGAAAAAGGCCTCTGCACATTTCTACTTAACATTATATTAGGGGGACCAGGTGTTGGTTTTGTGCAGGGCTGCACAGCAAATAGACACCAAATCTGATCGACAGTGGCCCTTGTAAAGCGTGTCAGTATGGCCCGTTTGGTTTGCTTCAGTGAACACACAGTTTGAGAGCTGATGAGAACAAGCAACACTTGTTTATTACTGTTGATGCAAACAAACTTAACTTTGACAACTGCATTGTTTGTTGGAAAGAAGATCCATTCAAACCAAATATATTGAAGTCCTTTACCTGCATCCTGTGTGCAACCAATAGTTAAGCGTTCTTATTCATTTCTATATGCTAATGATTTCAATGAGAACGTTTATTTGTATGGTTGGTTAGACAAATCTGAACAGTTGCAAATGTTGTGCCCTTGGATTAAAAACTAGGTTTTCTTTCTCGGTTTCAATTCTTGTTTTTCAGTCAGGTCTTTTTTTAACTTTCAAATCCTATTCTTCTGTTCGTAGTTTATGATTAAATATGAAAGACACATGCAAAAAAATATAAGATATTATGTTTTTCTTTAATTTAACCAATTGTATTTAATTGTATTATATTTGTAGCTCCTGTGTTATGCCTGTAAATATGCTGCTATGACCTCTTTCTTCCCGATATGGGCATTAACAAATTACATATCATCTTATTTAATCCACATTTGTGCATCGTCATTGCGAGTTTGGATGTCATGTCTCATATTTCAAGTTATTGTTTAAAAAGGTACACAACATGATTTGCACTATCTCTATACACTTTATTTTGTTTAATTTCCACGAGATGTCACAGTGTAACAGAAGAAAATCTTAAATGTCATTAGAAAATGTTTCTTTTCAATGGATTATTAAAACTATTCATATGAGATAGGGATTTAGGAGTAATTGACTAAATATATATTCTGTTTCTGGCCCTTGTATTTTAGCTGTGAAGTGTTTGAGTGCCATGGTTAGTCTGAAAATCAGCTTTAACAGATGTTTCCCATGTTGCCCCCCAGGTGACGCTGTACAGCATGTACGTGGCCTGCATGGCCTTCCATGCCAAAGTGAGCGACCCCCTCATCGGGGGGACCTACATGACGCTGCTGAACACTGTCACCAACCTGGGGGGGAACTGGCCCTCCACCTTGGCTCTGTGGATGGTGGACCCCCTCACCTCTAAGGAGTGTCAGGGGGCGGCGGGGCAGAGCTGTGGCTCTCCGGAGGAGGCGGGGGTGAGTGAAAGAAGAAGAGGGGGAGGGAGGGAGGTCAAATCTGCAGTGGTGTGGTTACCTGTGTTCCTTGGCCTTTTTCCCTCCAGTAGATCTGCCCAGTTGGGCTGCGTTGCTGCAACACGTGCATGAAGATCCTGGAAGGGCCCCCTTTAATCCCTTAAGCGGCCCTATGGGGCTTACACAATTCCTCCACTGACCCAAATACACCACAGAAAGACGGCTTTAAAACTGTCAAACTATAAGATTTATTACAAAGACGCATATAAACAATATACATCCTAGGCTGAGAGGCAGAAATAACAGGGTTGCTAACGAATGATGGAAAATGAAGCTTCCTTACTTCAGTGATAAACGTCGCAGGGTTAAGAAAAGGTGTGAAGAAGAATTCCTCAGGACTCTCATTGTGATGAGATGGGAGGATGTTACTGAGTCTGCTGTAGGGACACTACAATTCTCCGTACAGCGTCTACTATAAGACATCGAGGTACTTCAGCCTGTATCGCCATTCAAACATGTTGAAACAAAGCTGAAGAAACCCACACAGCTCAGTAAACACTGAGCTCATTTTACAGTAATTCTAATACATTTTTCAACCTTCAGGTTTTTTCCCTTCTGGTTTTAAATAGTGTTGAATGTTCAGAACATATACGCACTTTAAATAAGCTTCATAAGCAGCGTAACTTACATGATCTGCGCTTCTCTTTCGGTTGTTTCCATGAACGTCTGAATGTTGTGTGACATAGCGGCCGCAAGGTATTGTGGGACGGCATTATCTCCTCTCCTTTTCTATAGGATGGTCCAGTGTTTCCTAAGCTAAAGGAGATAGTAAAGGAAGTATTTAAGCTCCTTTCCTATCATCTAGACTAGAGCACAGGTGTCAAACTCAAGGCCCGGGGGCCAAATCAGGACCGTGGTGGATTTAATTTCGGCCCGCAGGATAATTTCTAATTACTATTAGATCTGGCCTGCCGGTATATTGCACGCACAGCTTCACTCCATCCTGAGGGTTTCCTCAGCTCAGAGCCTGAGCCCAAACATTGATGAACTTGCACCCAAGATGAGATGCCAAGTATCTGCTTGAACTAGCATCAGAGCAGCACCCTGAGTTTAATGGATGTTTCCTTCTGCATTTTTTTTTCTTGCAACAACAGGGCATGTTTGGTGTTTTCTTTGAGGGAAATAGTTTTTTTTAAGCTGGTGTTGGCCTGTGGAAAAATGTAAGCCTAAGAAATGACTCTGGGAAAGCTGCAGATAGAGCCATAAGAAATGAATGCAACTGATTATTTAATGTTGTTTTTATAGGCAATCATTTAAGCTTTGTTAGTTCCAGGTTGAAAATGTGCAATGAGTTCATTTCAATACGTTTTGCAATAAACATTGAACCAGTCCGGCCCTCGACTAGCACCCATTTTTTTATTTTGGCCCACTGTGTATTTGAGTTTGACACCCCTGATCTAGAGAATTCAAACAGCTCTTATCATGGCTGACACTTAAAGATATCCAGGTCAGAAGAATGTAAAATTTGACGCAGCCTAGCAGTCCCCACTCGGCATGCACCTTGTTGCAGGAATGAAAAACACCAGAACACATACAGGTGTATTTAGTTAGACTTTACTAATTGACTCCTTTGTCCCTGTTCGTCCCTCCAGCTGTGCGTTAAGGAGGGCGGCGCCTGTGTGACTACACTGGACGGTTACTACGTGGAGTCGGTGGTGTGTGTGGTGATCGGTCTAGCCTGGTGGGTGTGGTTAGGGAAGAAGATGAGGCGGCTGCAGGAGCAGAGCCCCGCTGCGTGGAGGTGCAGATCCAATCACTGATGACACTCCTCCTCAGGACTTCTGACTCTTTCTTTGTTGCTCAGCGTAACGGTGGACATGTTGTTTCACTCCGGTCCATCCTGTTTACTCCCTGCTCCAGCTGTTCAGAAATCACTCTCAAACTGTGTCACCTTGACCTGCATAACTCTGATGAAAGACGTACAAGTCCTTCTCATCATTACTATATCCCGGAGAACTGAAACTACGAGCTAGCTAAAACGTTTTATTTTTTATCCTGAAACTTTACTTTGCTGTTTCAAACAGCCTTAACAAGCGAGAGCTGAGTCAAAGAGTGTGCTCAAATACATTTCTGGGTTTGTCTGCTTGGATGGCCAGTGTGTGGCTAGAAATGTTAGCAAAACAAATAATTAGTGCCCTAACCCAGTATGAAGATCATTGCTGTTTGACTCAGATCTAAACCAATGTTGTTGTTTTTTTATGATTATTTAAATATATGTTTTCCTCTTGAGTGATTTGTGCCTTGTTTCCTGTTTCAAAGCCAGTTGATTCATGAAGGCAGGGGATATTACCATTGAAGTTGATGAACATGCATTGAGTAACTCTGTAGTCTGTAGTAGATTACATAAAACATAGCTGCTATCGTTCTTTAGTTTTGATATACTTTGATAGGATGCTCAGCACACATTCCTCATGAATACAAGATGAGCTGTCTAAAATATTAAATGTTTAAGAAATATTTTTTTCATTCATTTTCTACGCAACATGTGATTTTTTTAATTTTTTTAATTCCTACTTTAATCTCAGATCTTGAGAAAACATTCACTTTCGGTCAGATCTCAAAAAAGAATTTCACAAGTGACCCTAATCCTTTCCCTATTATAGGACCAATTCAAATCCTTGGAGCAATATTTGACAGTGCAGCTTAAACATTTTTACTATCATTTTTTTTTAAGTTGCAAGAAAAAAACAGACATATTTGTCTCTAAATGTTTTTTTAAGCCGATTAGGTTTTGCAGCATTTTCAAGTTTTATAGATGCATTCATTTTGAGTGAATATGTGAATATGCTGTACACTATCTATCAATTTACAGACTAGTCCTAATTCAGACAACCGTAACGTTGAACAGTTTGGATCAAGCGTTTCTTGTGGCACATCCCATCTAAAGGGGACATTAACACCAGCCTGAGAAGTGTGTAAATAAATACATCCATATTTCTTGCTCCAAAAAACAATTCATCACTCAGACCAGCAGCCTTCGTGACAAAGCAAACGCCATTAAAGTCTTGCCTGTTGTACATAGAAGTGAATGTTACAGTATTTCTCTAAATACAAAATGTAAGGACACAATCAGGGCTCAGTGTAAGGATACGTTTAACTGTTACATCGTTGTGTATCTGATTAACCATGCCGACTTTGTGAAGTACGTTTTGAAGGTCAAACCTTTCTAGATTATGACGGTAGAAAATGTTTTTTTAAAACATGTTTGACCTGTTACTACTCTGAAATGCACAGAAGTCATCTGTTTATTTAACATCAGACTGCAAGCCTTTCCTTTAAAGTTATTATACCAGCACATCACTGTTTCATTATGAGAGCCTTTTTGCCATTACTGGGCACTACATTTGTTGTATGATTTTAGATGGACTGTGTGGCATTTTTATAATATCAATGTTTCAGATCAGTAATTTTAATCTGCTGAATTGGCTTTAAAGGTGGTGATAAATCTTTTAGCTGCATACAATTTGTTTTAATTTCTCAGTTACCTCATCACACTTAAATTGAAGATGTTTGTTGTCTCGTTATGATTTTTTTATTTGCCCATCTTTTCAGATCCCCGCTCATTTCATTGAACAGGGTGACCGTATAGAGACATTTAAATAAGCTATCAGCAGCGATCTTTAATGCTCTGACGATGAATGCAATGAAAAAACTCTTGTATACAAATAAAAATACACTTGTGGTTTCTGCATACAAAAAAAGACACGATCCATTCTGAATTTTTTTACATTTTATTATAATTGTACTTGCTTTTTGGGATTTCCAAAATGTCCCTCCTAAACAAGTGAACGCTGATGGAACAGGCTGTGTATTATACCCCGAGTGTTTGGAGCATTGAACCCGATAACTGCTGCTCAGCGTCCAGATCAACTGGAGCCGCGGCCTGCGTCTTTCCTGGGGTCAGTCGGGGGTCCGATGATTGTCGCGGGAAGCAGCACCGAGATCAGCTTTGGGTTATCAGGCTGACTTTATTCTGCTGATACATCCCAGTGTAGCAGATTACTGAAGTATTCCCACATTAAAATAAATCCTCCACAACACCAACGCTGAATAAAACGTTTAATTTAGGCTCTCTGATGTATAGCACTGTTAATGCATCCTTTTTGTGAAACATTGTAAGACATAAAGCTATATTCATCAACAACCGGAACCTTTTATTTGTCCGCCGCTCATAATGACTCTTTGATCTTTTATTTTATTTCTTAAGAAATCATATCATTTTATTGAGAGCCAGGAAGCATTTTGTCTAAGAAGAATAAGAAGTGTCAACGTCTCCCGATGGAAGCAGATCCCTCACCGGCATTCATTTAAATAGCACTTTGGACGTGGTCTAGTAAAGACTTAGGAGGAAATTGCTTGCATACTTTGATTTATTATCGCCTTGGATTTATTTCCTCAAGAGTTTCCAGTCCTACGAGTCCAGGTCAGAGGGTGAGAAGACCCACGCACACACGCCCCGCTGTGACAGTATATGGAGTGTGTGTATTTGGATTGTATTTGTCTCTAGCATCCATGTGTTTTTTTGCTTTAAAAAATATCAACAAATGAAGAAGGAAAAAAAAAGAGTCACCAATAAACTCTCCTAAAGAGGCGCGGCGGGTCATAGGTTCATACGTAGATGGTCGGGGCGTTTAGCCACCACGGGGTAGGCCTGCTGCTTCATCTGACCCAGGTGGACCCCCGTGGGCTGGCGGATGGGGAGGGGGGCCGAGGCCTCGGAGTTGGAGGTCACGTCCATCTGCTCCGGGGTGGACAGCTCCATGGCCTGGTCCTGAGGGGACTGCATGACACTCGGACCACTGCCGGTGAGGAGGGGGCTTCGGGCCCAGCACTCCACCCCAGAGCACTTCACCGGGCTGAGAGGAAAAGGAGAGACAGAGGTCATTGGAGGTCAACATGGAGCCAACGTCAAAGATTGAAGGCCCACACAAGTCCTCTCTTCTGTATGTACAGGGTGTATGCAGGAATCCTGAAGTCAAAGGTAAGACCTTTTTTAAGACCCTTTCCATACATTTTAAGACCTCATCTCCATTTAGAGTTCTAACCGGTTACATTGGCGACACACTTTACCTCACATTGACTATATACAGTATTGATTGTCCTTCCTCCTTATCTTCCAACCATTTGGACGCAAACTTGCATTTCCCCATAACCATGTTGTTTAACAACCGGCGTAAACGGAGCTTCGCGCGCTATCAAGCAGTGAGCGTGCGATGTCCTGTTCAGATGACGTCAAATCCAACGGGATGCCATAAATAAACGACACAGAATCACACTACACACCTACGCCATGATTACATTCAGGCAGACTGTAGAATACAACCTCTTTGGACCATTTATATACTTATTGAAAACAAGCTACAAAATGTAATACCTTGGAAAATGCCCTTTAATAGCCTTAATTTTCGCTAAATTGATTTATCAACTTTTGATACTTTTTAAGACCCCGCTGACACCCTGATTGAAGGACTTGGATAAGGCTGGCATTATAAAGCTAATGCAGTAGCATCTTTTTAAAGAGGCCCTTTTTTCTACTTTTTGGGGGTTTCCCTCTCCTGTAGTATGTCTATCGGTTTTCGTGCATGTATCACAACAGAGCCGGCCAGCTAACCAATCAGAGCAGACTGGGCTCTGGTTTCAGACAGAGGGTGAAAAGAGGAGCTGCAGCACAGGCAGTATGAGACAAACAAAGAGCTTTTTGAACATTAAAGCATGGAGACATGTCCCAGAAGAGCAGTGTTTCTCAAACTTTTTCATACCAAGGACCACTTAACCAATAAAAAAACACTCGCGGACCACCTAACTCCACAAATACCACAAACACATCGTTTTTCTAGAACAGATTACAAATCGCCTGAAAATTGTACAAACAGGTGGTAACATGTGTGACGAAGGTGTTGCTCTGGGCTATATCATGCAATCGAAAGTGAAACTTAACCTCACTACATTGCAGAGATATTCCCATGAGAGTGCGGAAAACTTCAATTAACTTGTTTATTTAAAATGTGAAATGTTACCAATATACTCACGGACCACTAGGGGGCGCTCACGGACCACCAGTGGTCCGCGGACCATACTTTGAGAAGCACTGCAGTAGAGGTACTAAATACAAATATGAACCTTAAAATGAGCATCATCGTGCCACTTTAAGAGATATTGCTAAACTATTTTTATTTAAGAACCAGACTCAGCAAATGAGAGATTGAAGGAGAACTGCATTTGATCTATTAGTCTGCATGATAAAGACTCAACAATATGTTCAGAAATATTAATGACATGACAACATGTACAATGAAATGTTCATGATTCATTAATATGCCATGAACCATGTAAAAGATGAAATGTCCCCTGTGGTGATATGGGGTTTACCAATGAAGTCATTTTTTCCCAGCAGACACACAGACGTACCTGAGAGGAGTTCTCGGGCTGCCCACGATCCGTCGGGGTGAGCGGACTTTTGGCTCAAATGAAAACCTTTCTTTGATGTTATCCAGGACTGACGGAGCGACGTATGTGAAGCCCTGCAGAAACAAAAGAGACCAGAGACACACACAGTTACACCTCACACAGAAAGACATGCATCGACTTTAACATCTGATATCAACTCCAGAAGACTGCTTTTAATTCTTATGATGTATGCTGCTCTGTGATGCCCTGCCAGAATCTAATACATGAGCAAGAGCAATTAACTTGTGAGCAAGACGCTGCCTAACGACAAGCCTTTTCAAAGAACAACCTGTTTACTGTACACACTTGTGGCGTCTTGTTTGACATTTAGTATAATGTTAGAAACGTTCTCACTGTGATCAAGAGACAAACAAAGAAGAATGTAGTCGGAGGATTACCAGGAAGGCTTGGTTTGCGCTCTCGCTGAGGGTGGAGTCGTCCGGGCTGTCCACCGGAGTCTGACTGGTGAACTTGGAGTCGAACTGACTCACGTCTTCAGCTGATTGCTGCAAGGACAGAAGACGAACACAGGTGAGGAGGTGTGGTAAGAGGATGGGATTTTAACCTTTGCAGACCAGGACTCGACAGGAGAGGGGAAACCTCCAAAAGCATAAAAGGGCCTCTTTAAATTGGACTTCACATAAACAGGCTTCCTTCACCTGTTCCAGAGTTAAACTCAGGCTCAGTGTGAAGTATATTTTGAAGCGTTTGCAGGCCCTTACCACTCATATAGATTTCTTCAGTTCTTCCTCACATTATATAAGATGGTATTGTGCTTTAACCAACCAAAATAGGTTTGAGAAATCATTCTTCAAAAAGGGTGAACACATTAAAAGCAACATCCTATTTCAAAATGTGTCTTCTTGCATAACAATCACTTTTCAAACCTTGAAAACGTCACATTACATTTCAAGTATTTCCTGCACCTGTACAAACACTTCTTCTACACTTTAGTTATGAGTAGATATTCCAACTAACAACGTGACAGTCGGAAACAAGAGAAGACCTTGGTTTCGATTTCTGAAACAGGTAGTTTAATCTGGGCTGGATTTAAAATCCATCAAGAAGAAAAACTCCAACTACTTGAGAAGCATTAGAGGAGAGTTCACAGAGATCTGATTTCTGCATCTAACATTCTCGAATGTCAGACGATTCAGGATTCCTTGTGACCCGATACTCACCAGGAAAGGTTTGAAGGGAGGCTCCACTTTCCGAGCCAGCAGATCCTCCCAGTTAATGTGTCTGAAGAAGGGATGAGCCTGCGGGACAGCAGAGACACAGAGAGGGGCATTAAACATTCTGAGCTGCCATTAATACAACTACAGATCTCTAAGGGTCTCTGGGTTCTTACCTGCACTTCTGTGGCGTCTCCTGCGCCCGCTCCCAGCCGCGATGAGGCGTTTCTCTTCAACAACTGTGCAACCACGAGTCAAAGGTCAAAAATAATGCTTACACAACAACAGCTACACACTCAGGATAGGCGTTAAACAAACAGGAAGTACCCGCTTCAGGAGATCTCTGGCTTCTTGTGTGAGGTAGGGCGGGAGGCTGAGCTTACACTTCAGGATCTTGTCGATGGTCTTTTTCCGGTTTTCACCCGTGAAGGGAGGCTGCAGGGGAAAGAGAGAGGAAGGGGTTACTCCAACACTCCCAGATAATGACAGAGAGGGATGAAATCATCTGTTAATGTTGTAGAAGATGCACTGACCGCTCCTGTGAGCATGTCGTACATCAGAGCGCCGAGGCTCCACCAGTCCACCGCTCTGTTGTGTCCGCTTCTCATCAGGATCTCCGGGGCCCTGCAGCGATCACAGAGCAGTTCTTATTGATTAATGAATGAGTCAACAGTGAGCATGATAAGAGGAAAGGAAGTGTACAAGTGAGCAAGGAAGTATATGTGTATGCGGGTGCCTGAAAGCATGGATGTGAGAAGGGAAATGAGAGAGCGCCGCTCACATGTATTCGATGGTGCCGCAGAACGTGTGTGTGACTGTGCCGTCGTGAATGGACTCTTTACACAGCCCGAAGTCGGTCAGCTTTACATGACCTGGAAGAAAAAACAAACACAATCAGATACAATTATTCAGAATTATTTGTGGCAAATAATCAACATGTGGCAAATCCCAGGAATATCTGTATTTTCTCACACACCCTGGTTGTTGAGCATGATGTTCTCAGGCTTCAGGTCTCTGTAGATGATGCCCTTCTGGTGCAGGTGACCCATCGCCATGGAGATCTCTGCCAGGTAGAAGCT